AATGTTTTAAGTGACGCAAATATTCATGCTTTTGACATTTTTAAATTTAAAAAAAAAATTATATAAGTCACGAAGTCTGCCTTTTTATTCGGTTCCTATACTTATATTTAGAAAAATTTTATGCTCATTAAAAAAAAAAAAAAAAAAAAAGAATTCTCACTTCCGAACGACAAAAATGAATCATGATATTTAATTTCAAAATTTGGAATATCTGACGACATTTTTCACTAGCGTTGATGCGTTGGTTAATAAATGAACTAGATTAATTTGAGTTTGGTTTTTCTCCGTAAATCCCATTTTGTGAAATCTTTTATGGTTTACCTAGTGTTACAGCTGCTATGCCGAAACAATTTTCGGTTTGTTGCAGTTGCTATGTGGAAAGAATTTTCACGCATGTTTTCAAACAAACTTTCACTTAAGATTTCACATTCTAAAAATATGTATTTTTAATTTTCTCATGAAGTCTTTTGACTCTAGAATCATATTAAAAAATTCGTTAAACTAAAACTATTTTAATTTCTGTATATACTATTTGGAATTCGCTATTTGGCAATACCGAAGCCTGCCAGTCTTTTCTAGAAAATGATTCCTTTAAGTTTCTGTGAATAAAAAACTTTATATTGATCCATACTTTACACAATAATCTGCATTGAAATGGTTGTGACTTTATTTGTTAACGTTAAAAAACTTTTTATAATCCTATATTTTATTTTTAACTAGGTGCAAACGCAAATATTTCGTTCTTCAGTTTGTATACGGCTCCCCGAATATAGTCTCTAAAATGAAATATCTCAATCACATTTTTTGCATTTGATTTTTTGTGATAAATACAAAACTTTCTTAAACAAAAGTGCGTGGACCACGAGAATTTTTTTTAATTTAAAAAGGGTCTTAATCTGCGCCATTTAATAAATGTCTGTCATTGGCAGTAAAGGTTTGAGACCAACGGTTGTGAAAATAACAGCTAGATTTTGTGAACCCGGTATATACTCGTTGATTTGTATTTGCTCAAAAATATTTAAATCTTGCTAGAATCAGCACATCTAACTACTTGGTTAGACTACTACACCGAATTATTCTGTTTGCGAGCGCTGAAAGGGTTTTGTGTTTGAATGTGTTCTTATTCTGGACTTAATGGAGACTTTCTTACTCTTCCTGTACTTTTTTTAAGGAAACGCTAAGTAATTCGGAAAACTATCAAATCTTATTGATAAAGAAATTCCAAAATATTATCCAAACTCAAATTTTATCGCAAAATAACAAGAATAGCGTCATAAATGGTAGAATCCTGTATCGAGAAACATGGCGCCAATGGCAGCAACTGCTTCGTGTAAGTTTGTTTATTCATATATATCTATTCGGGTTATATTTATTTATATCTTTTCGTGTTTTCTCTTTCCAATATACAGAGTATTCGAAAAGTTGGCTAGAGGTTTTGTTTCATAACTATTGGTTATACACATGTATTTAAGATAAATTCCTCAAGATAAGATAGAGAATTTTATGGGTGGAAAAAAAAATAGGCACTGGAGTGGTGGAAAAGTAAAATATTTATTAAGCTTTTAATAAAATAACGTATTTAACTCTTGATTAAAAATAAGACTAATCCACACTCTAAATCCGTAATTAAAAAAAAAAAGGGATGAATCTACAGCATAAGTCCTTAATTAAAAAGCCATATTAAAACATTCCATTAAATTCGGTGAGCAACACGACATAGTGCCTTCGTTCAGAGATTCGAGTAGCAATTCGCTAATCATCGAAATGTTCTTTTCTAAAATCTAAGTATAGTTTCATGTATTAGTTGCTTTTTGATGCTTGTTCGTATTTCGTGGTAGTCTTACTATTACAGATTTGTGTAGAAGTTTGAGATTAATATTAAATGCTATTCAAGAAGATGGTCACTATTCTAACTGGAGACAATTTATATTTCAGAAATAAGTTCCACATCTTGATGAATTAACTGACTGTTCAACGTGAGGGTTATTATGCAGCTAGTGCAACACATGTAGTATAATAACTTAAAAACTTTGTCTTTTTAATGCGAACCAACAATTTGAATTAAAAAGATTAAGTAATATTTTCTGTTTTATTACAATCTATGTACGATACTTATATTCTACGTAGTTCGAAGACATAGTGTAACTAAAAGTGGGTCATAGTAAAATAAGTACCTTTTTAAGAAAAAATGTATTAAATTATAATTTTTAACCCTTTGTTCATTTTCATACTGAAATCTTCAACATAAAATAATCCTTTAAATAGATTCGTGGTTATAAATTGGTATCTTACCACTATGAAGGATTTGTTTTCAGCCACAATTTAAAAATAGTCCCCGTTATTTTGTTTTCTTTTCTGGTTCTGATGTTAAAAAAGTGAATACAAGCCTCTATCCTCAGAAAGTCCTCCATGAAAATATTCTTCCTCGTAGGCAAATAGTCCCGTGTGCTTTACCATATTCGACTAAACAAACAGATATAAACAATTTCTCAGATCAAGCATATTGATTTTAATTAATATTGATAATTTTTGTGGCGTTTTCTTACGTTTTGGAAAGATTAAGAGTACCTAAAGCCATTATTAAACTGTTTTGTTATTATTATTGCATGTTAATCGAGTCTTTATGAATTATTGCCCGTAAAATAATGTATCAATGATTCGAAAATGCAGGGTAATTATAATTAAAGTTAAACTATTTAGACCTATGTAGAGCCTGTTCTTGTAGACCTACTTGGAGTATTTGTTATATAGACCACGGGAAAAAGAAATCTGCAATACAAATTAATAGTTCAAATTTCGTCGGACAGGTCACGCTTTCCATGCAGTGTAGAAAAGACGTTATGCAAATTTGGAATGTTTTGAAAATCCAGTAGTCAATGCTGTAAAATCATTCTTCACCGTGCCTTTAGGGAAGAAAGGTCGAGCTTTACTGATCGTGGGCAGTAATTTTTCAACTGCACTGCGAGACTATCGACGCTTGAAAGGCTAACGAAAAGGTCCTGTGTCGAGGCACGGTTTGAGATAGTACTAGAGATAGTACAAAAAATAGTACTAGAGAGACTGGCGAGTTGTGTGTGCTTGCAAGGAAGTAGACGGAAACAGATTTTAAACGAAACTGTAGAATAAATCGCTGTTGCCATGATAGAGCTGGCGTCAGGCTCCTAATATTCTTAGAAGTGCTGAACCTGTGTTACGTGATTTGTAAATCCCTTGGTCGACAGTACAAAAGGTTTTGCGATCCATTGTAAAGTGGTATCCAGTCAAGATCCAAGTTCTCGAACTGCAGATCCGCACAACCGCACTGCCTTCTTTTGGCCAGAATAGCCGTTGATAATGCCTTGGAACGTTTTCGGAGGAGTCACATTTTACCCTAGACGGAGCAGATTCAAAACTGTAGCATATCGGGTAACGCAAGTCCTAATTTTGTGCATGAATTGTCTCCTGCATCATGATTACATAACTGTATGGTGTGTTTTTACTGCTGATTTCATTCTAGGTCCCTTTTTGTTTGAGAGAACACTCCTTAAGGCCTTCAAAGGCTTCCATCACAGGTGCCCGTTACTCCAAACTTCTTCAGCAGCAAATCATTCCTTCCTTACAAGAATAAGACTGTTTAAATACTACTGTTTTTATGCAAGATCGTGCACCACCTCACATTGTCAGACCAATGCTCACTTTGAAGATGATCGTGTAATTTCGAGAAGTCTTCCAAATGCCTAGCCTTCTCGTTCTCCGTGTGACTTCTGGTTGTAGGAATTCCTGAAATATCATGTCTGTAGAGAAAGCATAGGGAGTGTGCCTGAATTGGAAGCAAAAATAACACATTGTGTTGCTGAAATTCATTAAGAAACCCTTCCCACTACTGTTGAATACGCTATAACACGTTTGAACGTGTGATTGACGCAAACAGAATGCACATTCAACAAATGCTTGTTTAAATAAAGTTTTGTGTTTCTAGTTTGTGTTTGTTTTTCATATGCCCCCTTCTCACCTAATGACTGAAATTTGAGCTGCTGTTTTTTATTACAGTTGTCTTTTCTGCATGGTCCGTGTAACATGTGTACTAAGTTTCAACGAAATAGGTCTACCAGAACAGGCTCTACGTAGGTCTAAGTAGGGTAACTTTAATGGTGTCCCCCCATGTATAAAAATAATGCTTGCTAGTAGAATCACGTTAAAATATTTTTTTGTTAGAAACAAATTTCGAATTTGATGCCTCAGGTGTGTGTGTGTTTAAATCTTTTACAAATCAGTATCGTATGTCTTAATTTAAGATATACTTCTTATTTTTATTGCCTTTGAAGGAAAGAAGAGTGACAAGGATTATCAGAAAGCAATGGACAAAGACCTACGTTGGTGCCATCTCTCAGCAAACATCCGCATTTATTAATGCAAACCAATGTTCTCCGATAGCAATTAGTGTCATGAACCAAATACAGATAGCTAAACTAGATTAACCGGGTCAACAACGTATAACATCATGAGTCGACTATGGCCACTGGCTTCCAGCCATGAAATCTTGTTGCTTTAGTGGCATCGTCTATATTTGGAATTAAAAAACCATTTGCTGTTGGAGAACCTTTTGCCCTTTCTTAATAGCGATGTTTGCTGATAGATGACACCTATGACGATCCATTGCTGCTGGGCTAGTGAGGAATGATGTCTCGAATGATTAAACTAAAAGAGCACTTTCAATGAAGCAGTGAGGAACCCATGTTCTTGGCGATGTTGTTCCATTAAAGAAAACTTGCTGCAGTGTCATATCTTCCATGCCTTTCAAAATGCACATATTTCCCCCTCCCCTGAAGAAAATGTTGTACTCGCACTACCTTGATCGTGGCTGGTATAATAAAAATTTGCAGAATGTCCTCTAATTGCATGGAAAGTCAAGGGAATTAATGCAGATCATCTTTCAAAACTATTTTAACATTTCAGACGTTCATTTAGTTTTACTGTTTTTTTTTATTCGCCGAATTCTAAAAGGTTATTTCTTATTGCAGCATCCTACTGCGACACGAGCTCCGATGATGAAGGTAAAATGCCCAGAGATAAGCATCAAGTCAATTCCTCGGGTAGCTCGGATTTTTGTGTCAAGAACATTAAGCAGAGCGCTTTCGGCCGCAGGGAGATAGAAATTGCTGAACAGGGTAAGTGATTGTTCTTCTTTTCTTAATACTTTCTTTTATCTTCTAACTTTGTCGCTATTCTTTTTCTTTTGTGCCTGAGATGGAAGCTCAGAATGTGGTACTTATCTGTCTGTAATTTCTTAAGTGGAAAAAGACTCTTTGGGTTACGAACAAAAGTATTTTAATCGAGTTGTTGCTTTTTTATGACCTATGGAAGAGTTGTATATTTTATCTCCAAAGTGTAACTGCTATTCAGTATAATTTCTCAAGCGAAAACAGCGTTTCCTTAATTGAAACTTACTTTATAAACTTATAGAATGCTTAAAAAAAGAACGAAACTCTTATATATATATATTATATATATATATATTAAATATATTGAGTATTTATGATAGGAAAAGAGAAATTTTTATCAGGTGATTGTAGGCATGTTGAAGTTCATTATAACCCTCCCAAAAAAAATTAAAAAAATGTATGTCTCATGGATAGAACGGTTGTATTTCTGACAATGATCTGAAATTCAGCATTTAGCCAACTTAGCAAATTGTCAAGTAACTAACATCTGTATCACCTTTATATATGGCCATCTATATATGACTTGACACAGTAGGCAGTAACAGCAACCTGTTCTACCACTGTAATGGCTGTGCTACTGCCAGTGACTTAAAATTTTGCATTTCTCTAACAAAATTATATGATATTAATTCCTTCTTCATTGAGAAAATGGCTTCCAACTTGTCACCTCGCAATGGGCCAACTTTTTTTTTAAGTGAACCTGACATTATCTTGTGGGGTTTTCTCAATAAGTCAAGAACGTTGTCTGTGTCTATGTCCTATCTCATTGTCTACTGAAGTTTACACAACGTATTCGTAGAACCGTGGAGACATTCGTCATTGACTTAAGTAGCGTATACGAAAAGAACTCGTTTACTAACTTGTCATTTTCGCATGACGAGCTATTCACATGTGTGAGACTTTTATGTCTTTGTGGTGCGAAAAGAAAAAAAAAAAAAAAAATCAGTATTTTTTTCATAAATTAGAGGGTCTTTCTCATAAGTAGTTGTTTAATACGAAATGTACAAATTATTTTTATCTTGTTTAGCAATATACGGTAATTAATTACAGTATTTTGCAATCTGTCGTGATGGTAATTAATTACCGTATATTGCTTATTTGAGATTTATCTTCCACATATAGATTAACTAACAGAAATAATACAGGTGGCTGGTAAAACGAGTTGTACAGTTTTATTATTGACAGGGAAACTATAGAATAGAATATTCCGTAAACATAACATATATATGGCATATGGCTACGTCAACGATTAGTTTCTGTGCAGTCCAACGATCTGAAATTTTATCGATCATGACTGGTATCCTTTTTTTACGGTATATTTCCACCCGGTGTTCAACATGGTAATGAGGCAACACAAAGTACTTCTGGCGGGCCCTGAGAACTGCTTGGTATACATTACGACATGCAATTTCGATTTTTATCCCAGGTGCATAGTTTTTATTTTGTAAACATTTTGCTAGGCACTTGCTGTTTTACTCTTAATTTCAAATCAGCTTATACAGTATAACTGAATGAAGTACAGGTATCGCCGCTCACAGCGCGCCTTCACTTCATTAGCTGTTGTCAACTGAAGAAGGCACTAGCTATGTTAGGTGAACATATGATCACGATACAGCAGTATTATCCCTATTTTCTCCCTATCTTTTTATTAACTTTTTTTTTTTTTTTCTTTTGTATAATATAGCATTAATGAAGGAGGTAAACTGGGGTTTTACACTGAATGTTATTCCGAATTTCCTTTCGAAACTACCAAGGAGTCCTATCGTTCTGTGGTAAATAGTAAAAGACTTAAGTTGTGGATTAGATTGTATTTTTCACAGCACTCTAGGGCTGTCAGCCAAAGGGAAGAGATGCCGTCTTGAAGGACATTCTTCGAGAAAATGGCTTTTATTCAAGTAGCACGTAAGGAATAAATACGAAAACACGCATGCAAACCGTCAGTTCGTTGAGATTTAAGCCCTGGTCGAATTACGAGTATATAAGTGTTCTGGGGCTTAATAATGAAGCGCTTTCTCTCTATCTCTTTTCATCAAAAGCAGAATAGTCAATGAGTTGAAATCATTATCTCGTATGGCTAAAATTGTGCCCAGTCACGGAATGATAAAATGGAATGTTTCATGTCTTAGTTATCTGGAGCGGGGGGGAAAGCGATAAATATTATGAGATGGACATTGGAACATCAAATTGGAGCAATTACGCTGTTTTCAACTAAATTCTCAAACATAGCTGAATTCACTGCCGGTTACAGTCACAGTTTACATTAATTAATATTTACGATCCGTTAAGTCTCTGAAAAAAAAGAAAAAAAATCGACAAATGCCTTTTATATATATATATAAAGAGGGAAAAACTTTCCTCCTCTGAATGCAACTGTAAATTCTAAAGGAATTTGTTGTTCTTTTTAACTGACTTTCGTATTTGAAGTCTGAATATATCTAAAAAAAGCAAAAATCTTTTTTTTTTTTTTTTTCCCTTCTTCTTCTTCTGATCTCGTTCTGGTTATTCTAGCGGCTTTAGTGATTTCTGAATTTCATTTTAAGAGGAGGTGACGTCCAACTTTCTTCGATGATTGCCTGTCAATAAGAAGCGTTTTAGAAAATCAATTTTATGAGGTATCTGATAATTCGCAGATAATTTTAGGGGAAGACAATTTGCTTTCTTAAATTAATAGTGAGGTGTTGAAAACAAACAATGTGTATCCGTGATGAATCTGATAGTTGCCTTCATGATTTGCATATTTTAAATGTATGGGTGACGACATGTTTGAAATAATATGTGAAATACTTTTCATTTTATCTTAGTAAAACATTTTTCGCCTCTCATCGATTTTTGTGATTTCGAATCATTGATTCGCTTGAAAGACGATGAATAAATGCCGTTTTCAGGCTAGTGTTTTTAGTGACAGTGGGCATTTACGATGGCAGACAACAACAAGAAATCAGAAGAGGACTTCGCATTTCTCCAATAAAAGCGCAGGTCTAGAAAATTAATATAGTTTAAGATCGATCTGTTTATCTAAGAAATATTATCGTTGCGACTTCAAATATCTGGTCGGCGAGATAACTGAAAGGATTGCAATTCTTCGTCATAAGATTGCAATATTTTAGGGTGTAATGGCAATGGAGGTTTATAAAATAAAGAATGGATGCGCGAAATGCAAATAAATATATCTCAATCAGATATTGGATGCTGCAACGATTTCGAAATTAGCTGCCGTCAGATCAAGCAACCAGTATCAGATAGTTATGACGAGTTTGGAGGAAGTATTAAGTAACAAGAGGAATTTGGAAATTTGTTATTAAATTAATTTTTTCGATATGCCTTTAAACATTGGATAAAAATGAATGTTTTATATCCGTTTTAGTAGTTAATCATTAAAGTATGCGTTAATATTTTAAAACGTTTTTATATCATCATTCGAAAAGAAAATTTTATTAAATTTGTGACATCGTGATGATCAACTTAAAAAATGACGAAAGACCTTTAAAATTGACATTCCTGTCTGTGCGGAAAGTACGTGAGATTTATATATAAATTATTCCAATATAGGTATTTTTTGATACAAAATCGGACTTTTTTTAAATAACATGCCATTTTTTTTTTCCATACTTCGATTCTATGACTAAAAATATGCTAAACTACCAAATTTTATAAAAATCCTCGAGTAGTTTTAAAAAAATAGCTCTTAAAATTTTAGCTCCTTAATGTTAATTTGAGTTTAATATATATTTATATCTCTAAATTTGATATATATTTATTATTAACAGCTCTTTTTTTTCGGTTTTCTGAGATATACATGAATTTACGTATCGTCGCGTTTTGAAATTTGGCATATATGTAGTAAGCGATAATGACGCCAAATATGGTTTACGCACTTTGTTAAAATCATTTGAAAATATGAACGATGACCTTTTTTCCCGCTCTTCTGCAATGAAAAAAGAAAAGGAAAATAAGTTGTTATAAATTAAGAAGTTCGCCAAGTAAATTATTCTTGGCGAAAACTGAAAAAAATACGCCATATAAATTTTGAATTCTCCGTAAATTTCGCAGAATGTTACAAAATTTATATTTAGGTATAATTTGAGTCGTAAACGAAATATGGAAAAAATTGCAGGCGTTCAGAAATGTCCGTTTTCTGTAGAATCTAATATATTTTAATCATAATAATCTATTCTCAATGTGCTTCGACATGAAAAATGCAATTGACTTCGTCAATCGGCCCAGTGAACGGAGATATAGAACTGTCCCCCCCTTTTTTTTTTTTTGCGCAGTGTACATACTGATATTTTTAAAGCTTAAGCTCATAATATTACCAACTTTTGATTGGCTACTTACCAGAATGAATTTTGAACTGAAAAGTGATTTTGTATGACGAGATGTTTAAAGTTTTTAGTCGAAAGGGGCTTTGTCCCTGAAGGACTATTGTTTTCGTTTTGCGATTTTGCGTTGAATCACTATAAACGGCGAATCACGTTTCAAACTTTTGCCACCAAAATGTTAGAGTGCTGCATATTTTGAAAAAAATTAAATAATGAAAATCTGATAAATGTAGTGTATTTCTCGCATTGTGATAAAACAACGGTACATAGCCATCACTTTGAATGACGTAATCCTTCTACAAATATGGGCATATGGAAGACCAAATTTGAAATTTGAATTTGTTTTATTATCGATGTAAAATTTTAATGAATTTTTGAGTAACAAACTCAACGATGTAAAAGCGAGCAATGGCAACACTCTACGGGGGGGGAGTAAACCTTTTTATTTCCAGCGCGCGGAATTGTGTATTGGAAATTGTACAGATTATGCACATTTAAAAAATTATTTTGCAACATTGCTATTGAACTGAATTTTATGCTATTGAACTGATTTTTATTTACGCAAAACGAAATATGCAACACACTTGTTTTCTTCCAGCTTGGGAGAATTAAAAATGAAATTATTTT